TGCCCGACAGGAAAAACTTCTCCTGTCTTCTCAAGAGCCACGCTGTCCCCAGGGTCCCTGGTGCCATGCGGAGCTGGGCAGCGGTGACAGCTGTGACACCCGGCGTGGCACCAGCGGCCACTGGGGGAAGGAGGCGAGAGGGAAGGGAGCGCTGAGCGATGGCAGAGGCTGAGCATCCCCTGCTGCTGCTGCTGGAGCAGCTTCCATCCCGCTCGGAGCGCGGCCGCGGCCTGGCCTCTGCCGTCCGCAGCGGGAACAGCAGCGCGGAGCATCCCCCGGTGGCGCTGCCCGCGGGGCTCTGCCGGCTTCCAGGGGAATGGTGGCGGCAGGGACACGCGTTCCGTAACCCTGAGCGAGGTGGGACTATAACGCAGGGCAACCCCGATGAAGGGAAGGAATGATGCATCTGACTCTATTGATATCAGAAGGTTAATTAATTATTTTATTATACTATATTTTATATTATATTACATTACATCTAAACTGAATTTGTACAAGCACTCAACTCAATTGTACAGAATTTTGTGACTGTTAGCCAACAGTCCTGACACACACACACGGATTCAATTGGTTAATGAATTAACCAATTCACACTAGAATCTAATTAAGCAAATTCCTTCAGGTAAATAATCTTCCTCAGTGCATTCTAAAACATGCATTGTTCTAAAACACAGAAATGGTAAATGAGATAAGAATTGTTTTTTCTTTCTCTGAGGTTCAGAGCATGTGAATCCTAGAAATATCCTTGGGAAGTTGTGCCTTGCTTTTCTCTGTGCAGAGAAATGCAGCGGCAGTGGGACAGCGTGGGGCAGGACACGGAGGGTCCAAACCCGTGGGGAGGGATGGGGCAAGGTGTGATCTCTTGGGACTTTCCCCAGGTTGTGTCCCAAGAGATCTGGGGATGAAGGGATGGAGGAGTAGGTGTCCAGGGGGGCTGTGGGGACACAAACCAAACACATCTGCCTTCATGTGGGAGCAGCTCAAGACAACCAGAGGGGTCTCACATCCATATGGGGGTTCATATAGAGCCAGTAATGGGGAAAAGAATCCTGGAGAACCTGGACAGTTAAGAAAGAAGCTGGAAAGACTAGAAAACCTTGGGCTGCAGCCTTGGGATCAGAGTGTGGTGTTTTTACAACACAAAAACTCTGAGGCTGTGGGAACTGGGATCTTTTGTCCCAAGCATCCCTGTGACACTTCCTCTGAAAAGTCACTGGAGCTGATGCCAAGCTCCTGGAGCTCCTCTGCAGGTGGAGGCCCACCCAAAACACCATTCCCCAGTTCCACCCAGTTCCAGCACATCCCATAATACTGGTCCTTTCCACCTGTGTCCCCCAGCCAGGGTTGGAGGTTTCTGGTGAGGGGGAAGGTCAAACACACAGGATGCAGAGCTCCTTTTCCACAGGGAGCAGGAGCCTCTCGGCTCCAGCAGCTTTCCCAAAACACAACAATGAGGTTGATGTCACAAGTCACAGCCTCACTGGCCCCTGGGTTTGTTCAGCAGCATCCTTGGGAAGAAAAAACAGCTGCCATGCCTTCTTACAACATACCTGAACAGCAATAGAATCATAGGATGGTTTGGGTTGGAAGGGACCACAAATCTCATCTGCTGCTACAGGGTATGTGGCCAGGGAAGGTGGGACTCAGTTTGCCCCTGAAAATCCTCTTTTAAATCCCCTGAAACCTTCCCTGCTGTGGTTTCTAGAGAAGCCTGGTGCTGCTCAGGTCTCCTGCAGTGCCTCCAGGCCCCAGCAGCAGCCCCCTGCCAGCCCTGGGTGGGCAGTGAGCAGCTGGGCCTTGCTGGCTCTGGGCTGCTGGGGACAGATCCCACGCTGGAGGGTTTCATGGCATAGGAGGGAGGAAAATCTCTTGCCCAGAGATATCCCAGCCCTGGGCCCAGCACATCACTCGGGGGCTTCCAGCACCCTGCACAGGATGGTCTCCCAACCCTGGGATGCACAGGGCTGTGTCCTCTCCCTGCTCTCCTTGGAGCACAGCCCAGCCAGAACACTTCTGGCCAGGCTGCGGAGCCGTTTGCTCCACAAAGGGAAGTGCTCTGCAGAGCGTCTCCCCAGCAGTGATGCAACACCCAGGAAAGCTCTAACCTGTCCTTGCTGCCTTGGGGTTTTTCAGTCATTTCTTTTGCTTCCTTATTGCCCAATGCTCAGCATGGCTGGCACAGGTGGCAGTCACCCTCCTCTGTGGGCTTTGCCATCCTGCCTGGCTCCTCCATGGAAAGACACATCCCACAGGACACAAGCTTGGAGCAGGACGCAGGAAGGGCCACGGCAGTGACAGGTTTTGTCGGCCGTTGTTTGTCCCACCCAAAGGCTGTTCTGTCCCTTCCCAAATGCCGGGAGAAGAGCTGGCACCTTGGCACAGGTCCCTGCTTGCCACCTGCACCTCACCCTTTGCTCACCCCTGAGTCACGGGCAGGGAACACCCCCACCCCCAGCCCTGCCCGCGTCGGGCTGTCTGTGCCCAGACACCCACCCTGGCACCTGCCGGGCTCTCCCTTCTCCACCCGCTTGGAGCCACACCTTCAAAGGAGCCGGCAGGAACCAAAAGCTTCCCCCACCCTCCTTTCTACCAGGAACCAGGAGCAGATTTGCTGAGCGTGAAGCCGGGGAAGGCTGATGAGAGCACGAGCTCAGCGCCCGAACGGGCACCAGTGAGTCCAGGCTGCACCACCCGAGGTCAGGCTTAGCACAGTGGGTGTGCAGGGAAAAGAAATATAAGGGGAAATTGTAGTTTTGGACAGCAAGGCATAAAATTCCTCGTCCTGCCTGGTCCCAGCTGTAAATTCAGCTGGTGCTCACCTGGAACCTGTAGCTAGTTGCGAATCAAGAATTTATTTTGTGGCAAAATCCAGGGCATATTGTCCTGTATAGACTCCTCAGCAACAGAGCCATGCCAAACCCGATCTGCAAAGGTCTCAGCCCCCACATCCTGCCAGCACAGTCTCCCCCTCGGGGATGGAGGGAGCTGAATGTGAGGCTGCTGTACAGAAGAACAGCCCAGCGCTGATGGTGATGGAGCAGGTGCAGCTCCCGAGGGGCTGAGCTCTGCCAGCCCCGGGATGAGTCAGGCTGTGAAAGCCGACAGGACCGGCCCCGCGGCCGCTGCCCGCTGCCCTTGGCGTCACCACACCCGGCCCGGCCGGAGGGACATGCCAGGGCCCGCAGAGCCCGCTGGGCTGTGCCAGCCTGGCCCTGCCTGCCACCCCGGAGTGCCCGCCGCCGGGATGTGGGGTCGGGGGGCCGTGCCTTAGGGTCCTAATGGTGGCCAGTTCCACTAGTGATTGGTCCTAATAATGACCAGTCCTAATACTGAGAGTTCTGATAGTGACCAGTCCTGATGGTGGCTGGTTGTAACAGTGATCAGTCCTAGGAGAGGCTGGTCCTAACAGTGACCAGTCCTAACAGTGACCAGTCCTAATGGTCACTGATCCTAATAGTGCCTAGTTCTTATAGTGGCTGGTCCCAATAATGCCCAGTCCTAATGCTGACCAGTCCTAGTAGTGAGCAGTTCTTATACTGAGCAGTCCTAATAGTGACCATTCCTAGTACTGACCCTTCCTAATGGTTACCAGTCCTAATAGTAACAAGTCCTAATAGTGGCCAGTTCTAATAGTGACCAGTCCTAATAGTGCCCAGTCCTAATGCTGACCAGTACTAATAGTGACTGTTCCTAGTAATGACCATTCCAAATGGTTACCAGTCCTAATAGTAACAAGTCCTAATAGCGGCCAGTTCTAATAGTGACCAGTCCTAATAGTGCCCAGTCCTAATGCTGACCAGTACTAATAGTGACTGTTCCTAGTAATGACCATTCCAAATGGTTACCAGTCCTAATAGTAATGAGTCCTAATAATGGCCAGTCCTAATAGTGGCCAGTTCTAATGCTGACCAGTAATAAAACTGACCGGTCCTAATAATGCCCAGTCCTAATGCTGACCAGTCCTAATACTGACCATTCCAAGTAATGACCATTCCAAATGGTTACCAGTCCTAATAGTAACAAGTCCTAATAGCGGCCAGTTCTAATAGTGACCAGTCCTAATAGTGCCTGGTCCTAATAGCATCCAGTAACAGTAACCAGATCTTATAGTGGCTGGTCCCAATAATGCCCAGTCCTAATGCTGACCAGTCCTAATACTGACCATTCCAAGTAATGACCATTCCTAATGGTTACCAGTCCTAATAAATAGCGGCCAGTTCTAATAGTGACCAGTCCTAATAGTGCCTGGTCCTAAGAGCGTCCAGTGCTAACAGTGCCCAGTTCTTATGGTGGCTGGTCCCGACAGCTCCCAGTCCTGACAGTGCCGGTACCGGCGGTGCCGGGTGCCGGCTCCCGGTGTCGCGGGGCGGCAGCAGGGCTCGTTCCCCATGGGGGATTCCCTGTAGATGGGGCCGGGGCCCGGCGGGACCGGGGGACCCCGGCTGGGGCGCGGGCGGACGCCGGGGGGAGACCCCGCCCCGGGCCACGCCCCGGCCACGCC